AAAAAAATGCTTATGAACGACTCCAATTACTGAATTGAGATGTTCTGGCAAATACATTTAGTGGAAGTCGCTCATTCACTGTGAGCATACCGAGATTTCAAAACTTGGAGACAAGAATTTTGCAGTTGTTAAGGTTTAGGTTTTTTTATGTTTTTTTAGTTTGGTTTGGTGTATGCAGTGAACCATAAGTTGGGGTATTCTTGTATCACTTGTAATCACAGATCCCGGGAATATTCGAGCTAAGTCATCGTGTGGTAAAAATTATCTGTTCACCTAAACTATACAATATTAGCTCAAATGGGCAACGTTTTTAGAAATTTGGCGGTGTATGGTTGTGAAACATACAATGGTCGGTCCCCGCGATGGTCTGCCGCCTCATCGTGGCGTGATTCTGGGTGTCAAACTGCGAAGTAAGCGAAGGTTCACCCTCCAGCAGGGTCTTCCAAGCTGAGAAGGAGTTCAAAGTTTCCAGCTCCCCGAATGTCCAGCTAAGAGTAGGCCATGCCAGAAGCCTACCGTCCTGCTGGTTAAGTCGCTGGGTGGTTCCGTCATCCATATAGGTCAGCGATTGGCTGTGGTGAAAGCTTGGCAAGGCCCTGGCAAGTCACTGCTAGTGTTTAAAGAGATGTCCTTTACTCCTTGACTGTACAGCATGTAAGAGAAAAAGAAGCCCAGCACACTGGATCGTATCCACGGCGTCGGATGTCATCAAGAGCAGTGTCAGGTTGCACAGGACGCCATGAATTTCGGACCAAAAGGACACGTCAACACTCGCCATAGAAATTCTCATGCCCTGCACCTACAACGCCAGGACTCCACCAACGCCGATCTTCAAGCGCTTCTCGAAGCTGCAAGACGCACTAACTACCACGTAATCTCCTTGCAGGAAACAAAGTCCAGAAAGACGGACGTGAGGCAGGATCAGGAAATTTGGATCAGAACTCCGGAACAAGCTGGAAAAGAAGATTAGTTACCGTGTTGGGGGAAGGAGGGAAGTCGTATATGACGGCGTCAGATTGGAGAAGCTCCTGATCACTTGTGACTTGCCCATCAAAGAAGCCCAAGCTACGACGTGCTCAGAGGACTGAGGGCTAGTGTTGAAAGTGCTTCGATGCCTAGAACAAGGGATTTGGAACGAAAGATCGTCAAGGATCTGCCAGAGAAGAGAGGAGCATTGAGGATGGATCCGACGCATCATATCTCGAGCAACTAGCCAATACCAGTTGCAGAATAGATTTGCAAGCAGATTTCCGAAAGTACAGACAGTTGAAACTTTTGGAAGCAGCAGAAGGAAGGAGGAGTAGAAGTGCCGCAGGGACCTTCTTGACTGCCGTGTTTCTGACAACATTACTAAACGAAGATAGGGCTCACACATCTTCCCGGCAGAAGATAGAATCGACCACGAAGAAATTCTATACCAATCTCTTCCGCTCATCAACACCCGCAAACCCCGTTATTCCCACTGGAGGAATACCACCTCGGATTCTACCTGCTGTAGCACGCGCCGCAATCGTGACCATGGTAGCAGCCACGGCTCCAGGACCGGACCATGTTTTAGCCGACCTCTTACGAGCTGGAGATACCGCCTACACGAGATACTTGCGGAACATTTAACGTCCTACCTTGAAAAAGAAAGGTTCCCCGACCAGTGGAAAGCCTCCCCAACAATCCTGCTTCATGAGAAGGGCGAGAGGCTTTTCGAAACTACCGTCCAATATGCCTGCTGAGCGTGCTTTACAGGCTTTTCGTGAAGAATTCTCACTCGCATATCAAGAACACTGGATAAAGCGCAACCTGTGGAACAAGCTGGATTTCTGAAGGGATTCAGCTACGTGGATCATATCCAAACGGTTTCGAGGACTATCGCGGTTTGCCGAAAGTACCGCCTACCTCTCGTCCTAAACTTCGTCGACTACAAGAAAGCGTTTGACAGCGTTGAGGCTGAAGCAATACTGTCAGCGCTCGCAACGGGTGGACCCATCTTACGTGAAGACATTGGCGGACTGCTACATGAACTGCTATGGAGTTTCTCCAACGCCCCTTAGTATACCGATTTCAAAGGGGATTCGCCAAGAGAGGTATACGAGTTAATGGTAGCTCTCAAACCTTCGTTTTGCGGATGGCTAAGTTCTCTTTTTGAGGAATTCACTGAAGCGGAGGCGATATTAAAAAAACTAAACGAAGTAGGGAAGCGGATAGGACTGCGAATTAACCTGGGGCGGAATGTATTAAGGTCACATCAAGGTCGGCTCTCCTGTTCGGGTAGTTACCTGATCAGGAGCCACTTCCTGTACCCGCGATGCGTAAGGTTGCAGGGTTGACTGGGTAACTGCCCGAACAGGAACATAGGGTGCGCTAGCAATGCGCGCTGACGCATGCCGAAAACGCTCACTGACTTATTTGTAGCGCTCTACGCTGCATCAAATGTCACTTCTTTTCCAATTTCTACATGTCTCATGCTTTTTAATGGACATATGACATGCTTCTTCTTGTATACTGGGCTGCCTCAGAGTCTCATCTTTCTAGTTAGGGGATTCATGTGTCAACTTATAGAACCATGATACGAAAACTTCTTCACAAACCTCACAATGATAACAGCACACTACAGAAAAAGGACCAGTTCACAGAACTTATGAGAAAAGATCATTTGTTGCATATATGAATATATAAACATTGAGTAATGCGTAAAATCAAGTGTGAGATAGAAAGTAACAAACTCTACTTATCCCTTTCTTTTTTTCCGCAAGTAAAGCAGATCAGCACGAACGCGGTTAATTTTGGAAAAAAAGAATGTTCAGTTTATGTCCTACATTGCTGAGACAATGTTTTGAACACATTTGATTTTGTATCCTTTCAGTGGGAACAAACTTTTGTACCTTTCTCACATTTAAATACATTGCTTCAGCATTAATATTGTAGAGGCTTTTCCTGCACACTGTAGCTGTAGGCTTGAAAAAATGATAAATTCTTTAGCAAATCAGCATGCCGCAGTAGTTGAGACAAAGTAGGCTAACGTTTGAAAAACGAATAGCTAATGTTTGATGGTAAAAACCGTCGAAAAAATAAGTAAGATCCGAATTGCTTCATCTTGCATATTCAAACAATTGGAATTAGAATGCTTGATGTCGAATAGCCGAATATCTGACAATAAGCAAATGTCCAGCCTTAACCATAATCGATAATTTGGCGGGTAATCAATCGCATGACTTTTCGATTATTTTGCACTTGATTGATAGTAATAGTAATAGTAGTAATTGATAGTAATCTACTTCAGTATAAAGTTATTCGATCTTGAGTATTCCAATACCTGTGTTCTTAAAATCCCACTTATTAAAAAAACATTCTCGAAACAACTATTGAGTAATCAATGGTTGCGTTTTTCCACTATGCAACCATCTAGTATTCGAGTTATTCGAGAAAAAAATTCAAGCCATTTGAACACACATATTCGGTCTCGACGGAATTAGAATGACGTTCCAAAGACTTACGAACCAAAACTCGAAATGAAGACTTT